CCTGGAATTTCAGTGAGTTTGCCCGAATCACTTAGATACAATTCTCTTATATTTGACATTTCTGAAAAATCTGGCATTTTTTCCAACGAAATGCAGCCACCTGCATTTAAGACTTCCAAATTTGTTGGTAAATCTGGGATTGCACGAAGATTTATGCACTTATATAAAGACAAATATTGAAGCTGTGAAAGACGACCAAGGCTTGGTAGGCTACAAAAGTCATTGCTTGCAAGATCTAAATTTTCTAAGGAAATTAGGCTACCGAGATCCTTGGGGAATGCATCATCAGTTAACCTCCAGCCTGCAAGAGCTAATTCTCTTAAAGAGCTTAAACTTTGCAACGAAGGAGGAAAAAGATTTGTTGATGGCGACCCTTCCACATAACGTAAAGATACAACTTTCAGTTTCTTCAATTTTAATATGGAAGATGGTATTTGTCTTAAGTCTGAGTAATCCGCTTTCAGAGTTGTCAATGATACCATGTCCCCTAAGCCCTCAGCCAACTTTTCAAAACTCGGACATTCATCAAGTATAAGAGTTTCAATAGACTTGGATTTATAGAAATTCAGTGGGAGATCCCTTAGCATTTCGCAGCCTTCAAGATTTACCAAAGAAAGTCTTCCAAGATCCCCGATGGATGGGTGAACCTTAGACAAACTCTTACAGTATTTCAATATAAATTCCTCGAGATTTGGGAGTTTTGAAAGGTCTGGTGATTTTGTTAGCTTAGAGGAATGACTGAGATTAAGGATTTTCAAATTCTGATGCAACTGTTACACAAAAACAAAATTAGAATGTAAATTAAAATCCAAAAGGAAGGTCTCTGATACAGAAATTAAACCAAAATGAAGAGAAGGTGAAGTATAATATATGTATAGAACCAGAAGGAAAGAACCAACAACAACTAGGTTGAGATTATTATACCTTGCAATCCTTCCAAACTATTTTGAGTTTGCTATACTTCAGGTCTAAAGCAACTAGTTTTGGTTGCACAGGAAAGTCATCTGGTATGGACTCTAAAGGAAAATAATGCCAGCACAACCATATTAACTCTTTGGGAAAATCTTTGTACTCTCCAGTGAGCTCTACGTTGCTGAGGTGGAGTAACCTCAGTTTTTTCATCTTGGAAAATGCTTGTGCAATGAATCTAGTCTTGTAAGAGCAATGTAGAGCAACTCCTTCAATTTCTTCAGTTCCCTGTTAACAAAAGATACCGAATTAGAAAAATGATTTACAAACATGAAAATCCATGTATGTATTAACCAAAAGGTATAATTAATAGTATTGGACCATGTTACGCCATATAGTTTGTGTTTGCAATCAAAGCACATATTTTTTGTTGGTTATGCCTAATTGAGCTTTGATCAACACGGTCTAGCGAAGTGAAAAATGATCTAAACTTGTAGACTAAAGTCTCAGGTTCAAATTCATATGACACCTTGGTAGTGTGGATGTGTGAGAACTCCCTCTTTTATTTTGATTTAGCGCTTGTACTAAACAAAAAAAATAAAGAAATGGAAAAGGACATTTTAATTTATTATGGACACGGGATACATATGCTTCTCTTGCATGATGCATTGGGAAAGTACTTACAGATTCATCGCTCAGTACATCTGTTACGTCTTTATGTTTCCACAATCTACTAAATTTTTCTGGGCGGCCATGGGCATTTTCATAAACGATATCTCTTCCCAAGTCTCGAAGCAAATCATGCATCATCAGCTTGTTTTGCTCACTAACAGTTACAAGGCACCGTTCAAAATGAGGACACTACTCCCTCTCACTGCAAAGAAGCCACATCCGTCTAATATTTGTGTTACATAGTCCTTGTCCATTCCTATAAAGAAACAAGATATATCAAGGAATATCTTTCTCGTTGCATGATCAGGTAGCCCGTCATAGCTTATTTTGAATATTTTTTGAATATCTCCATCAGGACTTATTTGCAATTTCTCCAAATGGCTTTCCCACTCCGCTATGGATCTTTTAATCAGAAAAGATCCAACAACTCGAAGTGCTAGTGGCAAGCCTTGACAGTAACAAATTACACGTTTTGAGAGGTCAAGATATTCTTGATTAGGATAGCCACTTCCGAAGGCATGCCAACTAAAGAGCTCTAGAGCTTCTTCCTTATCCATTTCTTCAGCCATATATGTGCTATCCACTCCAACTTGCTCTAGCAAATGTTTATTTCTTGTTGTAATGACAATTCTACTTCCAGGACCAAACCAATCACGAGCTCCAGCTATTGCTTTTAGTTGCTGTAGATCATCTGCATCGTCAATTATGACAAGTGCTCTTTTACAGCAAAGTCTTTCTTGTATCACAGTGATCCCTTCATCAACAGAACCAACCATTATGCCCTCGCTTTTCAAGATATCATTCAGAAGTTGTTTTTGCAAACCAACCAGACCATTACTGCGTTGGACTTCCCTCACGTTTGCAAGGAAACTCCCACCTTCAAAGCTACCTACAAATTTGTTATAAATGGCTTTGGCAAGCGTTGTTTTTCCAATGCCGCCCATCCCCAAAATACCAAGCATGCGAACAACATCCTTAGAACCTGAATTTTTGATATCCAAGTGATTACTCAAAACCTTCATCCGAGAAGTAATTCCAACAAGGTGTTCGATGTATAATTGGTGTTTTCTGTTCACCAATTTATTAACCACCCCAAGAATTTTCTCGATAAACTTTGCTTCATGCCTGGCAATTAAACACAGAAGCAGAACAAACTACAAGGTTAAATTGAATCCCTAACTTAATAATTTAGAATTAAGATATAATTAACAATTAAGATTGGGATTTAAAATCAAATGATAAATGGATCTTACATTATCAAACCAAACCAAACCAAACAAACAAACACCAAAGTTCAAAGTAAAAAAGAAAACATAGTTGGAAAAACAAAAACAAAAACAAAAAGGACAGAAAACATATGGTTGTCAAGTAAGGAGATGATAATCCAAGGAACAAGATATTAGTAATTACCCATTGTCAGCATTTTTAAGATCTTCCCCACACAAATCTGCTGCTTGACTGAGAGCATTCCTCCATCGCTGTACCTTTTCTTTCTCATGTTTGCCCGCTTCATGTTTCTCAAAAGCTTCTGCAAAACTACTAGTCTGTTTCCGGACATCTGAAGCCTCAACATTATAGAACAATGGAATTACCTGTTGCCCCAATCGTTCTCTACACTCCATGATCTTCACCAGCTCGTCAAGACACCAACTGGAATCGGCATAACGCTGGGAGAAGACAATTATGGAGATCATGGATTTGTCGATTGCCTGCTCCAGTTGGGTTTTTATAAATTCCGCTCTTTCTAGCTCGTTGTCGTCAAGAAAGGAGCGGATTCCGGCATTAGATAATGCGGCGTGGAGGTGGCCTGTGAAGCCCTTGCGTGTGTCTTCACCTCTGAAGCTCAAGAACACTTGGTACTCCCAACGTTTTGATGAAGAGGATGGTGAGGATGAAGAGGAGGCTTTATGGGCTTTCCTGGCATCCATTAATTGATACTGGTTCAGATCAGACCAACTACAAATTGATTGTTTTTTACGGGGCAGAGGTTTGGCCTTGAGCAGCAGATGAATATATTATTGAACTAGAGAAGAAGAAGTTATTTCACAATTAATTATTTTTTTCTGGGGAGTGGTTTGGCCTTGACCAGCAGATGAATATGCGTGTAGACAGAGGTTAACCAAAACCAGGGGTCACTTTCTCCACTTTCTGTGGCTGTTGGCTAAGCGATCTGCTGGACGGCTAAGATTGAAGGTCAGGAAAATTCAAAGAAGCTTAGGGGAAAGAGGTATGAAAAGAGCGGGAAGAGACGAGCACCAATGTCCAATTAAAAAAGAAAAAGAAAAAAAGAAGAAGAAAAACAGAAGTCTTGTTTCAGTATGTTTTCACAAAATCTCTTTTCGTTGATTGTTTATACAAAAATTGATGATTTTAATTATTAAAAAAACAACTTATACAAATGATAAAATTAACCTCAATGAAGTATATGCAATTTAATCTTAAAGGCCAACTTTGTCATTTGGAGAATTTTTTTTGTATAAAATCATCAATTTTTTGATGAAAAATCAATAAAAAGGAGTTTTGTGAAAACAATTTAAAACGTCAATGAGTGTTCTTGTAATTTCTAAAACCTCAAGGAGTTTTGTGAAAAAACTGAAAATCTCAGGAGGTGTTAGTGTAAATAACTCAAAATGAAGACATACCTTGTGTAAAAAGATTACAAATTTATTGTAACCACCTAATCTACTACTAGTTTTCTAAATGAAAAAATAATGCATTAGATTTCTATTGAAAAGTTGATATAGATACAAATAATGCAGTTGTATGAAATATTTTATTGAAGAGAGAGAGAGAGAGAGAGTGTGTGTGTGTGTGTGTGCGCGCTCCCTTATTATGAATTAGCTTTATCCCGATTGTACAATTTCATGACTGGATTAATGTTATGAACAAATTCAAGTGGGTTTCACTTATATGTTGTACTCTAACAAAATATGTTATGAGTAGTTTTGAGAATTCCAATCCACACCATCCAATACATGGAGCTTCCCTGGATGTTTATTCCAAATGTGACGTATATATTGAGAGGAAACACAAAAGCAACATGCATGTTTGACATACATATACATATTTCTCACCAAAATGAGAATTAGCTAGGTTTTAATAAATGTGGAGCAACAATACGTATTCAATAGTTAATGATTGAGAGGCTCGTACGAACTTTCAATTATTCCCTTCCTTCTTGATTAAAAAAAATGTCCGATAGTTATGTTCGTTCTTCAAAAATAATTTAGTTATGTGTTATATGAGAAAAGATGTATACAATTAAGTAATTTTTATATTGTGTATCATCACGTGATATAACCAGTTCACTTATATTATAACATGTATATACAGTAACACTTCAAATAATAACATCCCTTAACAGTTTCGTACTATTTACCTTTTTAAAATGGGCCAGAATCGAATCATGGGATTAAGCCATTGAGCCCAAAAATGCAAATATCCCGGAGGCTACAATGAGGGATAATATTGAGGTTTATAATGAGGGGTCTTTAATAGCCGTCCAATCAAGTAGAGAGTTATTATTGTACTGTTGGACATAACACACTCATCATAATCCCTCAACATTGAAGCTCCGTGCAAATATTGCTTGACTTGCTCATTCTCTACCAACTCCTTTAACAGGGAAATTCTATATCACCTTTCAGTGACCTATTGAAGCAGGTTATGGCCCTCCTGGCTGTAAATGCTCATCTTTGATAACCTCCTCTGACATAAAAGCATATCCTTCGGCTAGGCCTTTCTTCCCAGGGTTAAGGAATGAACTTCACCACCCACGGTCCTACTCATTATACACCTCTATTTCCTTTCTGATTTTTTTTTCCCAAATGCTTTTCCTTAACACGGGTCCTACAATTTTATTGCTTGGTAAAATAAAAAAAAATCAATTTACAGCAAGTCAATAATGTACAAGAAAATATGCTTGACCATGTTTCGTTTTGATGCCGTTCAACGCCTCCACAAACAAGGTAACAATCTTGTAGCACAACTTTGATTTTTCACAAATTCACAGGCCATATATTCTGCAAGTAACATTGATATGCCTGCAACATTCACTGCCCCGCATAAATCCCGTTCAAACATTCAGGATCAGTTTCGTTTGCCCAACATTGTCATCTAATTAAAGCATTATGTTATTCAGTAACCGTCTCATTATCACAGAAGCTGGCATAAGAAGAAAATCAACAGCAGTAGATGTGGACCAACCAGTTCAGTCAATACTAATGTGGGCATTGGATCCTTAGATGAGGATTTTTTTATTTTTTTATTTTTCCTGGCCAAGCAAGTCGCTACAATGCAGAGATACACAACAGGACCGGGAGATGCTTTCCTTTGATTCGTAAATCAATGACCATTCTCACATCTTCGTGAGCATATAGGAAGCATATCCCCTCCTCCCGAAAATACTTTTGTGGAATCTAATGTTCTAATATGGCTTGACATGTATGGATACCACTGTCAGCATGTAAGAAGGGTAGTAAACTTGCCAGATTAGTTTCTATATTACCTTATCATAGCACTGAAGGTTGGCAAAAGTGTTCACGAACGTAAGCTGTTGCATGAGGAGAAGCAGGGCCAGAGGAAGTTTGGGGCGACCTTTTAACAAAAGGATGGCTCAATAGCTGAGCTGCAGTAGGTCGATTATAAGGGTTAACTTGTAAACATTTGAAAATGAAATCTCGTGCATCCGTTGATAGCGAATCAGGAACTGGAGGAGGTTCACCCCTGCCAATCTGAAATATTACTTGCATCTGCCAATCAACAGACAAGAATATGATTTTTCTCAGATTTCAAAAACAACTCCACAAGGGATAATCTAAGGATCTATCATGTCCTTCATATGACTGACTATGTTTTTTCTTTTAGAATATACCATTTTAACAAATCAGTACGACATTTTTGGTTGTTATTTTATAATTTCAACATGTCTTGGACTTCTCTAATGTTTCAAATTGATTAAGAATATTCACCCTAATTTTCCCCTTGTAACTTTTCCTCTCTCTTCTCTCTTCCCTTCACTTCCTCTTTCCCACAACTAGCATTAGAACATTATGTCATCAATTTTATAAGGTTTTCTAAAGACTAACTGATTGCTGAGAAGAAACCTCTGGATTCAGGTTTTAGAAGGGGTGAAAAAGGGGTCATGATTGAGGAATTTTCTAGGCATGGGGAAAAAAAAAAGGGAAATTGGGCCTTCTTTGTGATCTGAATATAGTAGTTGGTGAAAGTAGCAGCTTTCAGAGGTAGGATTTCATTGATGGTAATCTAGTTGCATGGATGAGTGAAAAATGTTGTTAGGTCCAGTGCTGAGGTTGAGTGCAAGTGAAGATGATCTGCATAAAATCACATGGTGGGCGATGGGTGGTATGCAGGGTTGGATTCCATGTCTGAAAATAAGGTGGGGGATGTGGGAACTTTGTCAAAATGTTCATCTTTCTTCTAACTTTTCTTTCTTTCTATTTAATACGAGTATGTGTTTCTTATCCTAAGAAAAGGTAGAAGCTTAGCATTTTATATACAGAAGTGTTGAACATACGCCTTCCAGGTGAGAGTATGGAGGCTGACGGGTTAACATCTCTAACACAGCACATCCAAGGCTCCATATGTCAGCTGCAAGCCCATAGCCACGATTCTTTTGATTAACAACCTACAATTTACAGCTTACTGGTTAACGGGTTAACCCAAAACCAATTATACAGACAAGCATGCTTGGACTAACCTATGCCCAATTATAGGATTGCAACTGAGAATTAACTTTATCAGAGAACAAAAAAAAGAAAAAAGAAAAAAGAAATGTGAATTAAGTTTCTTTTACCAGGCAAATGATGTGGATTAAGGTAAAAGAGTAATGCAACAATTACAGATAAATACTAATTTTAATTCAAAAGAGCCTAATCATAAAATAATGTAAAAGACAAATTTGTCCTACCAAAAGATGGTTTAACCGAAATTTTCTTTTTTTTGGTTTGAACCATGAGGTGGTCCTGGATGGGCCCCAACTATGGGTGGCACCTTTAAGCCTTAACCACAACCCAGACTAATCCCCGCTCACACCGGGTCGGCCCGTAAGGGGTAAAGTGCTGGCCAAAGTGGTGACTCCATACGAGAGCAGGGATCGAACCCCTGACCTTCTCTTAAGGAATGAGAGTGCCGAACCACTCACACCAACCACCTTGGTTAAAATTTTCTTTTTTACTTGTCTAGATACACTTGTTTTTTTTTTTTCAACGAAATCTAACACATCCGACGAAACAAAAAGCACCAAGTAGTAGAGAGATTGTACTCGTTTTACTATTTGTTCCTGTTATTGGTGGATTACTTGTCCACCTTGTATGGTTTTTTATGAAATAAAACTTCTCTTTTATATATTTTTTTAAAAAAATGTAGTAAAGAGATTGTAGAATCATCAAAAACGTAAAAAATTGGTCCAAGAAACTAAGGATAAAAAAGTTGAAAAAGATTACATACATACATATTATAAATATAAGAAGTAGCAAATGAGGAGAAAACAGTCTGCACAAAGGGCAAAACATATTTGTTTC